CTCAAAATCCAGCATTATGGATATAGTAAAGTGGAGCAGTTTTTTGAACCATCAATAATAAACTCTCATTGACTTCAATGAAAGAAGAATTAGGCCACTGTTATGCAGGGTTTTCGGATAGTTTGAAAATCCTACCCAAATGCCCTATCATCAGAATAGGGGGGATCATTATAATTTGTTAAGTGTGCTTCCAGTATGGCTGGTTTGATTATTATGTAATCCTGATATAGGATCATAGGAAAGTGGTGCTTGAAGGAACCACAGAAAGGTCATCTAGTCCAGCCCTCTGCTCAAGGCAGGATCATCCGCAACTAAACTGTCCCAGCCAAGTATCTGTCTAACATGCTTTTGAAAGTTTCTGAAGATGAAGATTCCATGGCTTCTCTAGGTAGCCTGTTCCAATGACTTGCCAGCCTCATAGTCAGAAAGATTTTCCTAATCTCTAGCCTAAATTTCCCCTGCTCCATGTCAAGTCTGTTGCTCCTTGTCCTGTGTCTACAGACCCAGATTAAAGACCATCTCCATCCTCTTCATAATCATCCTTGTGGTATTTGAAGACTTTTATCACTGGGAGAGCTGAGGGAATAATTCTCCATCAGCAGGATGGGAATATGAGGGCCTCAGTAGGAGGACTCAGGTGCCTTCATACTAATGCCAGGAGCATGGGGAGGAAGCAGGAGGAGCTAACCCTCCTACTCTCCAGTGTGATCTAGTAGGGATTACAGAGACCTGGTGGGACTCTTCACATGACTGGAGTGTAGTTATAAAGTGCTACACCATGCATAGAAGGAACTGGGTGGGGAAGAAAGGTGGAGGTGTTGCTGTCTATGTGAAAGAGCAGTACACCTCCTTGGAGGCTGACATCGGCTCCAAAAATGGACAGCTTGAAACCCTCTGGGTCAAGTTGCGGTGGGGTGGGGGGGAGAGGGGGCATGGCAAGAGAGACCTAACTGTAGGTGTATACTACAGACCACCAAACCAGGGGAAAGAACTCGATCTAGAGTTCACCCAAGAATTGACTGAGGCCGCACGTGCACATGCACATGACATGGTTGTCATGGGTGATTTTAATTATCTGGACATCTCCTGGGAGGAACACTCAGCCAAGTTGGAACAGTTGCGATCCTTCCTGACCTGTGTTGAGGAGCTCTTCCTGACTCAGGAGTTGCATGGGCCAACCAAAGGTGATGCTCTGCTAGACTTGGTCCTGACCAAAGGAGATGACCTGGTGACCAACTTAAATATAGAGGGAAGTCTGGGTGACAGCAACCATGACACCATCATGGTCATTGTCTGACATAAGGAAGACAAATCGGATAGAAGGATTGAAATCTTGGACTTCAAAAATGCAAATTTCAACAAGCTTAGGTCACTAGTAGGGCAAATGCTATGGGACCAGGGACTGAAGGCAAAAGTGTGAACGAAGAGCAGTTGTTTCTTAAGGACACAATCCTTGAAGCACAAAGGAAGTCCATTCACACGCAGAGAAAAGGTAACAGAAGGGCTGGGAAGCCCTCTTGGCTAAGCAGGGAAATAACTATTCTCTTAAGAAGAAAGAGGCTTATAAACAATGGAAGCTCGGGGCAAGCCCCAAGGAAAACTATTCCATGATAGCCCGCATTTGCTGGGCACAGATAAGAAAGGCTATAGTGGTGACCAGACTTAGATTAGCAATGGGAATCAAGGACAACAAGAAGTCCTTCTTTAGGTACATGGGGAACAGGAGGAAAACAAATGGGAGTGTGGGGCCATTGATCAACAACTCAGGAGAGCTGGTTACTGGCACCCAGGAGAAAGCTGAACTCCTGAATGACTATTTTGCCTTGATATTTCACCAAACCAAAGGGAAAACCACACCAGGTAGAGTACAGGATGAGCACGGTAGGAATACTCGCCTTCCTACTATTGCCATAGACTTTGTGTATGACCAGTTAATACAATTAGATATATACAAGTCAGTAGGACCGGATGATCTTCATCCGAGAGTGCTGAAGTAACTTGCCGAAGTCATTCCAGAACCCCTTGCAGACATCTTCCAGAATTTGTGCTCTGGAGAAGTCCCTGAGGACTGGAAGAAGGCCAATGTTGTGCCCATCCACAAGAAGGGCAGGAGGGAGAACCTGGGAAACTATAGGCCATTCAGCCTAACTTCCATCCTAGGGAAAATCCTAGAAAAGTTCATCAAGGAGTCTATCTGCAATAAGCTTGCAGAAGGTAAGATTCTGAAAGACAGCCATCATGGCTTCGTCTCAGGCAGGTCTTGCCTTACCAACCTCATCTCCAGGTAACTTGCCACCTGGACACAAGAGAGCAGGTTGACATTATATACCTAGACTTCCAAAAGGCCTTTGATGTAATATCCCATGATGTCCTCGCAAGAAAATTGGAAGATTGTGGGCTTACCTCTGAGACAGTCAGATGGGTGAGAAACTGGCTGCAGGGTAGGAACCAGAGTCGTAGTGAACGGATCTGTGTCATCCTGACAAGAAGTGCACAGCAGTGTCCTGCAGGGGTCAATGCTCGGTCTAGTACTATTCAACATCTTTATTAACTATTTGGATGTGGGGGTGAAGAGCTCACTGGCCAAGTTCGCAGACGTCACCAAGTTATGGGGAAGTGTGGTCACACTTGAAGATAGGCTACAGTTACAGGCAGACCTAGACAGGCTAGCAAGTTGGGCAGATCAGAACCTGATGAAGTTCAACGTTGAGAAATGTAAAGTGCTCCACCTTGGGACAGGCAACCTTCAACACACCTACAGGCTTGGCAGCACCAAACGGACTAGCACCACAAATGAAAGGGACCTGGGGGTAATAACAGATCACAGTATGAATATGAGCAGGCAGTGTGATGCTGTAGCCAGTAGGGCAAATAATACTCTGGCATGCAACAATTGATGCATCTCCAGCAAAGCCAAGGATTATGATTCTTCTGCTCTACTCAGCACTGGTGAGACTCAGCAGCTGGAGTACTGCATCCAGTTCTGGGCACCACACTTTAACAAGGAGATGGACAGGCTTGAGAGAGTCCAAAGAAGAGCCACCCGTATGATCAGAGTCATAAAAGGCAAGCCATATGAGGAAAGGCTGAGGGACCTGGGACTCTTCAGCCTGAGGAAAAGAAGGCTAAGAGGGGACCTGGTAACAGCTTACTGCTACACTAGGGGAGTATATCAACAGCTTGGTGAGCAACTGTTTACCAGGGCACTTGAGGGGAAAACTAGGAGTAATGGCCACAAATTCCTGGAAGATCAATTCGGGATCAACATTAGGAAAAACGTCTTCACAGTCAGGGTGTCCAGACTGTAAAATAAGCTCCCTCCAGAGGTGGTGCAATCGCCTACCCTGGAAATCTTCAACAGGAGACTAGACAGTCACCTTGCTGGGGTCACCTGACCCCCAGTTGTCTTTCCTGCTTGGTGCAGGGGGCTGGACCCAATGATCTTCCAAGGTCCCTTCTGGCCTTGCAATCTATGAATCTACAAAAATCCCCCCTTCAGTCTTTTCTTTTCCAGGCTAAATAACCCTCTGTTTTTTCAGCCTTTTCTCTTGCATCTTGTCTCCCAGGCCCCTGGTCATTTTTGTTGCCTTGTGCTGGACTTTGTCCAAATTGTCCACATCTTTCTTGAAGTGTAGGACCCAAAACTGGATCCAGTAGTCCAAGTGAGGCCTCACGAATGCTGAGCAGAATCACTCTATTCAGATATGTTAATTCCTGAAATTTTATTACAAGTCCTTCACTATTCGGTGTTTTTGTTGAATTCCAAGTTCACTGAATCATATCATTAAGTAAAAATATGTTATAATTTAATCTTTATTTTCATTTTTGAAGCAAGTTTCTATCCCTCATGGGCACAGAGGAAACCTTGAAAATATGAACTGGTTTCACCCTAAGTGCACGTCCAGATGAGCGTGGACATGTGGTATGCAGCACCACAGGCCCATCTGCAGCACCACATGCTGCATATGCAGGCATTCCCCATGCTGCTACTTTGTGGGGGGTGGGATTCAACCTGGGAGATCCTGGGGTAAAAAAAAAATCTGTGCCTACAAAAACCAGGGTGGCTCACAGAGTAGCAGCACACATCTCCATAAATGTAGCTTGAACAGCTGGAGCCAAGCTCCAGTTGCTGCTTAGGCTCTCTGCTGCAGGAGCACCATGGCTGCAGCTCCCAAAGGCTTCCAGGACCCTAGGTAAGGCTGCTGGGGCCAGCACAGTTGCTGGCCCCAGCCTCCCCTATCCCACCTGGGGCAATGTGTCACATGCCAGAGCGCACACGGCATGGGCATTCCTTGGGGACAAGTAGCAGTGGCACAACGAGTGCCACTGTTACTTGTCCCCAGGGAAATGCAGGTTCCCGCTTATGGGGTCATATCCTAAGAATTCAGTAAAGAACCATGTAAGGATATTTTTTATAATTTTACTTTTTTTTTTAATAGTATGGTTTTGAAGATGTGCCACATGATTTAAGGATATTTGTGGTTGGCAATAGTGGGATTTTTGATAATGGTAGCATTTAAAAGTTTTGCCAATTCTAAATATTCCATGTACTAGTTTTCTGATGCTGGTATCAATAAAAATGAAAACAAAATTAATTCAATTTTTTAAGATTTCATTAACTAGAGGAGATACCTGTACTGTTTAAGCAACTGTCCCAGTGAAAATGTTACTTGTATTTAGACTGTTTGTTGCTGGTACATCAGTATGAGGTGGTCCATAAGACAGCTCTTTTATAAATCACTTTCTCTTTAGCTATCTGATAATAAACTCTCTGGCCTTATTGTAAATTACATAAACCTTTTTATCTTAATGAATTTTGTCTGAAATTTTAAAAACACTTGCATCTTCTGAAAACATTTATTACCAGTGTAAATGAATATGCAGTTATATTAATTTAGTGACTATTAAACTTCTTCCATTTTATATAGAATTATTGAAATTTTTTTTTTTTTGCAGAAAGCCAAATACAAAGATTAATTTAAGGTTTGCTTTGCTTTTAGATTATTGTGCCATGCAATGAAAGACCACATAGTACGAGTAGCAAATGAGGCAGAATTTATTTTGAACCGACAAAGAGCTGAAGACGTACACAAACATGCAGAGTTTGAGGTAAGCCTGTGGATGAATTCCTATTTTCTGTTTTTACTCAGCTATCACCTAGAATGTAACCTCATACAAAAACATTTTTTTTCAGGGGAGACAAATTTACATGAAGGCATTTCAAAACCAGGTTTTAAAAGCTTTGGTAAATGTAAAACACAAAGAACTAGTTTATTTTTTCATTCCCTCACTGAAATCCATGGAAACATTTATAGCTTGAAGAAACCCCTTAACCAGGCTGCCTTCTTACTTGATATGGCAGATTCTTAAGGTTCACGGAGACCTTTCCTGATTTATTGCAACTAGTGATGCAAAGAACATTAGTAATGCAACTACTTTATCTGTTTCTTGAAACAGAATATGAGGTCAGTAAAAAAAAAAAAAAAAAAAAGTGAGTATTCCTGAAGTAAATCTAGAAAAATAAATATTTCTGATATAATAGTAATTCACAGTTTACTAAAATATTTACTATTAGTGCTTTTTAATTTTATTTATTTGTGCATAACTCACAAATTGAAACAGAATGATAATAAGCATTTTCCCTAAACAAATAAGTCATTAACTGCTGAAGATAAGATAATGCTTAAAATGCTCCATTCCATTTTATTTTGGAAGAATAAAAGCAGGAGGTGGGTTCTATAACATTTACTAATGTAATCAGCTCTGCCTTACAAAAGGAATGTGCAGTGAATTACTTTATCCAGAGTGGTTGAAGTCCAACTCAAGTTATGGTATTAAAGGTGACGTGCAGTAAAATACAAATAAGGTATTTTAAACATATATGTTTATTTTAATTACTTGTATTTGTGGGATTAATCATGTTCCTATTAAAAATGTTTTGATAGAATGCTAAAATTAAATTGTTTGATTTCTTTTTATCAGGCAGTCTATATGAGGCATTCACTGCACAGTAGACTAATTAAAAGTGAAGTAAATGTGTCATGTCTACATGTCCACCTCTATTAGACTGGAGTAAATTAATTTACTATGCAGCAGGGTAGTACTTGTAAATCCATGTATTTACAAGTACTATCCTGCTGCAAAGTAAAAACCTCCACAACAGCTCATGTGTAGATGCTGCCAAGCTGGCTGGGGCATAAGGGTCCTTCCGTGCAGTGGCTACCTACCTCTGCAGCACATTGAGCCAAGGGAACAATACATTGAGCCAGGGGAGCAGCCCCAGGCTGACCCCCCAATCCTCCTACCAGCTGGGGCTGCTCCAACCTGGCTCAGCGGCTGTGGTTCCAGGAATACATGAAGACGTGCACCCAAGAGCAGTAAACTGGCACAATAAGCTCTGAAGTTTATTGAAGTGCATAAATATGCATGTGTAGACATGCCCAGTATGTTTTGTTATGTTTTATTGCCCATATTTAATATTTTAACACCAGTAGTTCTTATCCTTCTTAATTTTTTCTTGTGTATGTATTTATGCATGTGCACACACACATGCATGCACATATATATTTTAATGTTGGGTGGTTTGGCAGTAGAATTAGGTTAGAATTACTCAGTAGCATAAAAGATAATAAATAACTTATTCATCTGTCAGAGAATGCCAGCAAGCACCTTGTGGCTAGAAATAAAATCCAGTCATCTCAGTTTTGATGAGGTTTTTATCTCATTGAAGCAGCCCTCTTAAACCTACACTTTGATGTACTAGTTCTTGTGCTCCTTGACCTAGCTGAAAAGTATGAGACACAGAGATATCTGTTGTCATTTTGAATACACATAACGTTTACTTCATTTTGTCAGGCTAGACAGCAGACACTTGTCATATGGGATTGCAACAACTTTATTACCAGGCATATACTGGATATTTTAAACTTAGATAAAATCACATTTACAATTAAGTGTATGTCAGAGTGAAATTTCATATTGCCTCAACAATAAATAACATTTGATATTTATCAGGGCATCTTGCAGTAACCTAAGATGACAATAGAAGATTGAGTTATCTGCTCTTTGAAGAATATGTTGAAGTATAAGCTCTGTCAGAACTCTAGACAAAATGAGAATATTCAATTAGCTTCCAGCTTCTGTTAGCAAATAAGATTTAGAATATTAACTAAATTCCCTAAAGGAACAGCCTTAAGTCAATCTTATTTTCCAGTAAAGAAACCAAGACATTTCTCATATATGAAAATTTTCATTCTATTTATTTGTCACAAGAAAAAACTTTGTAAAATTCTCTGTTTTAGAGAGGGAAAATAAAATCTGTAAGCAATTCAAGTAAAAGAAAATTAGGAAATATAAATAAAGTATTAGATATGAATCTGATATGTACAAAATTAAATGGTACTCACATGCTGGAAACAGTGTTTTACATTTTGTAGAGCAGTAACGTTCTGTATGTATTATAATATATTATCATGCATCCCACTTAAATAGTGGCTGCAAAAAGTTTTTGAAATGTCCGTTGTATTTTAAATTCTGAATAAGTTTCAATATGTTAAACTTTGTTGTTGCTGTTGATACTCTGCTTTATTTTGTGTGTGCTAATCTTTGGTCACAGCAGGTAAAAGTGAATGGGTGTTTTCCTTTCATTTCTAAAAGTTATGCTATCATTACCAATGCAGTCACTTACCTCCTGACATCTAGGCGTTGTGGGTGTACTTGGGGGAGGGAGGGGTATAGTGGCATGTCAAAATAAAATTGGTGAATTCTGTCCTGTAGTTCTGACTGTTAATCAGAGAAAGTCTGTTTTTTTCCCATTTTAGGGCGTTTGGGGGGGGGGGGGGAGAGGGGATGTCCTAGAGTGGTTATTTCACAGTTAACTTTCATTTTGTTAGCCTCTGTAATTGTTCAGGAAGAAAAATGAAAATTTAATTTTACTGTCCAATGAGCTGATGAAATATTAACCTCATTACTGAGGCAGATCATTGTACTAATTGGTGCTTCCCTGTACAAGAAGATAAATTGAAAAATGAATTAACCCTTTATGAAGTAATGTAATGGTCGTTCCTTTTTTAAGCAAATGATTTGCAATAATAGTTTAAATATAGAAGATTTAGTTAAGTTCTTACTAAATGCAGGCATGAAATGTATTAAAAATGCTGGTGTATAGAAGTTCAAGCACCTGAATTCATGAAATGCCATAAACTGTCTCCAGTATAAGGTTAGCTTAATTGTAACTGCTGTTATGATAAATATTATAGACTACACTGTTTAGCTGGCATTAAATCTTGGTTGAATGTGTTCTAAAATGAGCCACAATGAATTATTGTACAACACATAATTTGAAGAACATCTAGTTTTAAAAGGAAGGATTTTATTGGGAAATTGTAATTGGAGACACTCATTAGATAATGTAATTTATTCAAAATAATTTTAATATAATGTAGCTTTTCTGATATGTCTCTGTAAGAACACTGTGCTTTTGGGGGTTTTATTTTAATTGCTAAGGATCCTTTTGCCCTATTGAGGCTTTGCTAAAGGATCTCTGCTAGGAAGAGTATTAAGAGAAGAAACTGAATTTGAATTGTATTTGTTATGAGAATGAAAAATAGGAAAAATATATCTGTCTGAGCAACACAAAAAGGACAAAAGGATTAGGAAAAGTAACTAAAGTCAACAAAGTGTTTTAACAGTGAAGTCTTTTTAGAAGCAATCTAATGGAAGAGGGATTTCAATAGCATTTGGTTGAGAACTGGATCTTGAAAAAAATGGATCAAATTATTCATTCTAGGTTCTTTTTGAGTTACAAATATTTATAATAAATTTATTGCTATAACTGTGCTTTACTTGGAAAAACTTTTTAAGTTACATATCTATTGTAATATATGGAGATTAGAAAATATACATGAAATTTCAAGCTTGATGGGATTCAGCTGTTAATATTCATAATGAAAAAACTTCCACTGAGTGTTTTTTTTCAAGTTATAGTTTATTGGATTTGTAGAACTCATGGAGACTTTAAAATACTGTATTTCCATATGCAAGATTCAATAACTTTGTATATTGCTGATAACACGAAGGCTGTGGGTTAGGTTCTCAGGCTGTTTACTTTTAAACAGAATAGCCAGAAATGTATCCTCTGACATCCCTATATCAATAATTATGGATGCTAGGGTGAGGATACATCACTCTTGATACATGTGATTCAATGCTCTTCCTGTATAGTAGGGCTGTTCAACTTCTAAGCCCCCAGGAGCTGCATGTGGCATGGACTACATTAAGTATGCTGCACTGTCACTCCCCCTCCCTCCCCAGTGCTGCACTGAATGCCGTTGGACACCCCTTTACCCCACTTCTGAACTACCTAGATGCATTCTTTCCCTCTCTTCCCCCACAGTGCAGCCTTGGCCTCACCCTCATTTCCTTGCACTGCCTCACCCCCTAACGTAAAGGCAGGAAGTGGCAGCTGGAGGACGGAGGGAGGAGCCTGGAGACTGGCTGCTGTTGTAGCTAGAGCAGTGGTGGCATGGTGACCAGATGAGAGCTTGGGGGACTCAATTTAATTGCTCATGGTTACCAGTTGGACAGCCTTCCTCTAAGGGGGGTGGACCAGGCCCCAGCAGGACTGAATATGACTGAGGAGGGGTCTTGGTGTGCAGGGTTCAGAGTGTGAGGGAACAGGAAGCATGTCCAGATCCCCGTGGTGGGGGAGGAGGAGCAGAGGAAAAGCCCTGCCTGCTGCAGCAGCTTCCTGACAGCCAGGAGCAATCCAGGCATACAGCTCCACTGCCTGGCCCCAGAGGGGGACTCTTCCCCCTCCTCCCTCTCCCCCACTGCCACAGGGCAGGAAGGGGAACTCTGTTCAGTGCTGCCCAGCCCCAGAGGGGGACTCTACCCCCTCTCCCCGCCCCTTGCCACTGTGGGGTGCGGAGGAGGGCTCTGCGGAGCTGCCCAGCCCAGCCCGGGCATAGGGAGTGTTTGTCACTAAGCTGCAGCCACTGGAAAGGGCTTGTACCCACAGGCTAGGCTGGGCCCGCCCAAGCCCCAGCCCAGCGAG